ATTCCCCTGCTGGGTATCTTCCCAAAAGAATTAAAAGAATCATACCACAGTGATATATGTGCACCCATGTTCATAGCAGCACAGTTTGTAATAGCTAAAGGTTGGAAGCAGCCCAAGTGCCCATCAGCTGGAAACTGGATAAAGAAAATGTGGGGTTTTTAATAAAATGGAGTACTACTCAGCCATAAAGAATGAAAAACTAGAGTCATTTACAGCTAAATGGATGCATATCGAGGCCATATTCTTAAGTGAAATAAATAGGATACACATGTGTAAATACCGAATAGTTTCTCTAGTGTGAGAAACTGATAGTGTAAACAAGGGTTAAAACGATTAAAATGAATAATTGATAATTTGAAATAAGAAAAAAGGTCCAAAGATGAAGAAGGAGTGAAGGGAGGGGAAGGGGAAAGGAAAAGAGGGAAAGGAAAAACTATGGGAAAAGAAAAAAAAATGGAAATGATGTCTATGTAAATAGGGAAGGGTGGAGCGGGTGAAGGGCTTGCAGGTAATGGGGAAAAAATAAGAACCAAGATGCATCATGTACAGGTACAAACACCCAATGATAAATGTAAATGAATTGTGTACCTAAAATGTACCAATAAAAGAGCTTAGAAAAAAAAAGGAGAAACGTAGATGACCTTGGATGTACCCTTGATCTTTTAGATGCAACATCAATAAATAATTGATTCATTGGACTCCATTAAAATCAAAACTTCTGTGCTGTGAAAAGACAATGTTAAAAGAATGAGTGGCCAGGAATTTAGCTCAGTGGCACCGTGCCTATCTCGTAAGCACATGGTCCTGAGTTCCATCCCTGGTATCCCCAAAAAATAAATAAATAAAAAATAAAAGAATGAAAAGCCAACCCACAGATTGGGAGAAAATGTTAACAAAAGACACATCTTATAAAGTCTATACATGGTTACTCAACATATATAAAGAAATCTTAAAATTCAATGATAAGAAACTAATAATTTAATTGTAAATTATGGCAAAGTCCTTAGAAGACATCTCACTGAACAAGACATATAGATGGCAAATGAGATGTCAAGCCATGGAAAGCTGTACAGGAAACATGAGAGCATGTTATTAAGTGAATGAAGCCAATCTGAAAAGCTATAAGCTATATGATTCCAGCTATATGGTATGGTGGAACCTGAAAACAATAAAGCATTCACTGGTTTTCAGGGACTGAGGGTAGGAAGGGATGTATAGGTGGAGGACAGTGGATTTTAGGCCAGTGAGACTATTCTGTATAATTTATGCACCATAATTGTGCATAAATTTTATTATATGCTTTCCAAAACCTGTAGAAAGTGCACCACCAGGAGTGTACCCTAATGTACACTATGGACTTTGGTTAATAGTGGCATGTCAGTGTAGGAAATCAATGAATTGAAATAAATTTACCACCCCAATGAGGGCTGTTGGTAGTATATAAGGCTGAATTTGCAGGAGCTAGGGATATACTTACTATAAGCCTCTGTGCCTTCTTAACAAGTTTATTGTGAACCCAAAATTGCTCTAGAAATAAAGACAAAGTAAAAGAATCTGGAGGACGTTAAATTAAGTTAAATAAATTAGGCATAGAATGAAAATTACTGTATATTCTCACTTATATGTGGAATTTAAAAAGTCTAACTTGCAGATGTGGACAGTGGAAAAATCATTACCAGAGCTGAGAGAAGAGGGAGCAGAAAGAAGAGGGAATTGCTGGAATCTGGGAAGGGCAGGTAAGTTTCACTTAGAGAAGAAGATAGATTTTGAGATGTGAGGCACAGCAGGATGACAGTCAGTATAACATACTTCATATTTCAAAATAACTCGGACAGAAAATTTCAAATGCTGCACCACAAAAAGATAAGTAACATAAATATGTTGATTATCTGGATATTTCAAAAATAAAAAGCATATTCTGTTTTTCTGACAAGTGCATAGTGTCATTATTTAATCACTACAATATCATGTGTAAATGTTTTACCACTAAAAATGTGCTATGTTCCACCTATTCACCTTGCAAAGATCACTTACCTTGCCTTATAAGCTTGATTCAGTTTGCCAATATTTAAAAAAGAGCTTGTTGGGATTTAAACTGAAATTGCATTGATTCTAAATATCAAGAAAGAATGGACAAGTCTCCCAGTTCACAAATATGGAATATCTTCTTAATTATTTATTGCTTGCTTTTCTTTCATTGGTATTTTGTAGTTTTGCAGCTACAGATTTTCTACACATATTATTACATGAATACCTAAGCATTTCATCTATTCTGAATGGTATTGGTTTTTCATTTCAAATTTCAATTCTTCACTGGTAGTATGTAAGAAGTGCTTTCTTTTGCATAGTAGTCTTTATCCTGAAACTTTGCTATACTTGCCTTTTAAATCTAAGAAGACTTTGATGGATTCATTAGACTTTCTACATAGTATCAATGAGAATACAAATAGTTTCATTTCTTCACACACACACACACACACACACACACACACACACATATATATATATAAAACTTTCATTGCCTTTTCTCCTCTCATTACTCTAGGTGAATTCGCAGTGGTATGTGAGTAACAGTGGTGAGAGAGACCTGGCTTGCATTCTTCTCAACCTCAGGGGAAAAGGGTCCAGCCTCCCAACATTAAGGACAATGTTAGCTGTTCTTTACCAAATGGAAATTGTTGCCCTCTATTCCCATTTCCTGAGACAGTTTTGAGCATGAATAGATGTTGGATTATGCAATTCACCTATTTTGAATCTTTATATTAATCTGATTTTCCTTCTTTACCCCTTGGATTGGATTGACTGCTTTTGAATGTTGACTAGCCTTGCATATCTAGAATAAACCCCACTTGGTCATGGTGTACAATTTGTTGTATGATGAGGAGGAATCAGTTCTATACTATTTAATTGAACATTTTTATTTCTGCATCGATAAGAGGTGTTAGTCTGTACTTCTGTTTTCTCAAAGTGTCAGTATCTTGTTTTGGTATCAGAGTAACACTGGTCTGCATAAATTGAAGCAGAAAGTGTGCTTGCTTTGGCAGCACATATACTAAAATTGAAGCAGAAAGTGCTCACTCTGTTTCTATTTCCTATTCTGTTTCTATCTCCTAGAAGAGTTTGTAAAGATTTGATGTTATTTTATTTGTAAATGTTGGGCAAACCAACCAGTAAAAATGTAGTCTAGTCCTTTCATTTAGGAAATTTGTTCATTAATGAGCAATGTATTTAATAAGACTTTGGACATTCTGATTATTTATTTATTGTTTTGTAAAATTTAGTATTTTGTGTCTTCTAAAGTTTGGCCAGGCTAGTCTAACTAATTAAACTTTGACATCAAGTTGTTTGTAACACTTTCTTTTACGTCTTAAGTGTACATGCACCATACTATTTTACTTTTATTTGTCTACATAAATAGTTCCTTTGACTATTTTGTAATATACTACAGAATTTTCCCTGTCAATAGTTTCTTTTCCATTACTTCTGTGGGTACATGTACGTGTGGTAACTGGGCTTAGACTTGGCAGTGAGTCTTTACCTGTCTGCTGTCACTTCTGGGAAGAAAGTAAGGAGATGCCAATGTGAAAAGCCACCCACATTGCAGGGGGAGTAGTGAGAGGTGAACACAGCAGATGATGACACAGATGGTTCCAGAAACACCAATAGAATCC